ATTTGTACACAAGGTAGTCATAACGTTTTACAATGCGAACCATACATGTATATTACTCGGGCAACTTTTCTTGAACGATGGATTGACGATTTTGCGTGGAGTGGGGATATTAGTTATAAAGTCGGCCACTAGAGTATTTTAAGTAATGCCAACGTCTGTGAAATGAAAGTCAAAACTGCATCTTGTGTTTAACTTTTTCCGGAGTTTTACGTGACTCCCTTGAATGACCTGGAACTGACCCAGCCATTTCTTTCGATATTGACAATAAACCTGATCAGGGGTTCTGCACTATGAAAGCAATTGGCTTTGACTAGCTTCTGTTTCGCGCCAACGAAGTTTTAATGCTTGGAAGGTTGTCATCAGTGCCCACTGCGAGCTTTTGCCTTCAACTGTTTATTGCACAAGGGGGATCAAGGTCATCGTTCAAGAAAAGTTGCGCGAGTAATACCGTACATGTGGTACTCCGTGCTGTGTGTGTCCGTAAATCGTGACAAGAAATTAGTGCGCCCGCATAACAGTTGAGTTAGTTGCTGAACGTTGCTGACCTCGCTTCGTGGATACCTCTATTCTTCACTCAACAAAGTATAAAGGAAAGTAACCAAAACCGGGCCGGGCTCCTAATGCGAGCCTCTTCATTTACAGCTCTGTAGAGTGACGATGCCTATTGGAAACGTACTAAAATAATTCTTTGAAAGACTGCAGCCTAGTCAAGCGGTAGGGTCTTTATCTTCACTTGTTGCCGGACACTCGGCCATTAGTAGGAACAGTGAAAAGAAATATTTTTTCAAGTGCTTATTCTCAGTTGCCCAATTTCTCTACTTCATCGGTAAGTCTTCTAACCCTACTTTACTTTGAAAGGGTCATTACATGTTATAGATGTAGGGTAATGCAATTTATATTACTTTCCTTGTGAAAATGTTATTGGCTTTTGGAATTTGCCTAACTAAAGGTTCCTAACGCGAGCAACCAATTTTTTGTCTCATAAAATAAAAACAATTAACGTATTTGCTACTCCTTATGTCTTAGGAGTCTAGTAAAAAGCAAGAGCCTATTCTGAAGCCTATCAGTTGGAGAGGGCAGAAAGAAAGAGGATGCGAAGACACAATTTCGGAATTTAATGCTAGAGAATTAGAAAAGATAGATATAATAAAATTCTGAATTTAAACATAAGCAAAAGGAAGATTCCTCCTTCCGCGAGGAAGAGAACGACGTGCCCTCCGTCTCTTCCGAATTGGACGTTCTACCAAGGATTCTCGGCATTTTCTCTCTCAGGTGAAGATGCAGAGTGCATATTTTAGAGGGTAAAATTTCGGAGCTATAAGAGGACGATCTATGATTAACCTAATGTGTACCTCTTAGCTTATGTAGAATGTGCGGGGGTGGAAAAACTGCTTATATATGCAGCTTTTGTCGCACTTAAATACATAGATTGTATGTAAGACATAAAAACATTTTTTTATATATAAGACGTTAAGCTTGTATTTTTTTGTAAAATTACTATTAATCACACACACACACACACACACACACACACATATATATATATATATACACTAACCCGCCTACCCCCCAACTTACCACCTTCAACAGCAGCACGCATGTGCAGTAAGCGTGTTATCACGATTTGCTCGTGAAGCGAGCTTAAAATTCTCAGGAAGTAGGATCTTTCGGGTACGAGAAAGGTCTGAACCCTCAACACAAAAAATTGCAAAGTTTGTGACCAAAGAGCGTATAATTTACCCATAAAATTTTTAGTGGCACATTTACACGACAGAAAAAAATAATCACACTTTTACAGAAAATAAACAGAACACAAATAGAAACCTTACAATACACAAATTCTAACTTCCCTCAAAATTACAAAAAAGAACTGTACAACAATTAAACCACCTTTCACGTAAAACAGTACAAGGTATGGCTCCCTTTTTTTAACTGCCTCAAGAATTGGGGATTTCACTTGCTCCATTATTACGCATAACAAAATGTTTCCCACTTTAAGCTATTTTAGTGAACTGTCGCGTTGCTGCGATCTCTTTCTTTTTTTAACGAAACTGCTGTGGTGCAAATGCACGTGCCTCACCGACGCTGCGATGCTCGCTGCCAGATGACCTCGCCGATTCAAGGTTGTGGGCGCTCCAACGTTTCGCCGAAATCTCCACTTGCTACGTCGACCGTTCGAAGTCCCACGCTGAACCCAGATCCTTCGCACCTACACGCCCTGCCCTCCATCCAAGACCATACCTTTCGCACGTACGCTTGAGCCTTCTTGGAGATTCCTTCTTCTTCTTCTTCTTCTGTCTTCACACGCCTCGTTGTATAAATTAATTCGCGCTTCCAGTTTATCGAATTTGCTGCGCCCCATTCGTTAGCGTGCGTGGCCTAACTACTGCATTTTTGGCTTGTGCTGTAATAAGGAGCAATATGACCGTACTGGAATAATTCAGAGTCCTTCAGGGCGAATCTAGGCAATATTAGTCTTACTGCCGATTCCAAAATTTACACTACTTTCTATCACTTCGGTAGTCTAATTTCTAGTCTAGCTCCACGTATTGAAATAAACTCTTACTCTATTTCGAGAAGACCTTGCTGACCTCGCTGTGATTCAAGCGTTGCCTTCATTTTCCTTGTCGCAGGAGTATCAGAGATGCGTTCCCCGTCGTTGCTGGAATATCAGAGAGAGCTCCCGAAGGGTGTTACCGTATTTATTGCTCGACACCTGGGGAAATTTCAAGAATGAGGTTGCTTCCCCTCTTTCAACCCTCCACGGAAAAAACGTTGCTCGCTAGTTCGAGCGCTCTAGTACGATCAACGGATAACAGGTTGCGCGTTTAAGAGCTCCGCCGCGTATGCTATCCTCGATGCTTGTGGGTGTTCGCAAGTACTAGACGGTGGCGTTATGGGGTTACACAATCCCATGACGTCACATTGCCCCCTCCTTCTCTTCTTAAAATTTTCTTCTCCCTCGAATAAAATCTTAAGTGGGCCTAAGATTATAAAAATTATATTCGCCGACGACCTCTTCACTCTGACGAATGAGTCTGGCAACATTAGGAGCAACTATATTCTGAATTTCATACAAGCCTTCGTATAACCTGAAAAATTTCGCAAACATTTTCAGTCAAGGATTTGATACCCGGGGCGTTAACAACACTTGCTGGTTTGTATGAAATTGGTAGTTCTTCCTCCTATCCTTTCGCTTACGTTCTTCGCCTGATCGTCGTAGTTTCTGCAATATTTGTTCATCATCTTCCAAGATTTGACACAACGTCTTCACCCTCTACATCTCTCTTCATTTTCCTTAGCTCATTCTTCCTTCCTATCTTCTTTCTAATTGTACAACACGTTCAGACAATGCAAGTAAATGACAACTTATTTATTGAGAGAGATAATTCGTCAATGGGTTGTTTATATTATTGCAAAAATTTGGAAAATTTACTTAAGTTTCTACGTGAAACAAGTGGGGATGACAGGAAAATGTTCAGACGCGTAAATTGCTAATAACAAAGATGGGTGGAACCTGTAACTTACTATTTCCTTAAAATAATCCAACTTTTCTTGCTTCAAAGCAGAAAAATACTTTTGCCTTCTTTGTTGAGAGGGTGCTATAATTTTACATTCCTGATTTTTGGGAACAGTAGGACATCTAAAAAAAAAGCTTATTCTGTCTCTCCTGGTCCCTTACACCCCAGTACACTATCGAACATAACTTGATTGTCGTGAAAATACAACTTTATTTTAGAGAAAAAGGAACATCACACTGTGAGAAAGTGTACATAAACAAAACAAAAATCTTTTTAAACCATTAGAGGCAGAGGAAAAACTCAAACGAAGAATGATCGCGACGTTTTAAAACAAAATCGACACTCATGTCGTGTTTTATCCATAAGCTCACAGATTGTAGCAGCCTGCCGCGTGCCACCCAGAGACGACGGTGCTGTCTTCCTAACTATATAGTTGGGATTTTATTTCTTCGCGCGTGAGGGCCAGTCTTCACGATAGAATATCTAATGGTATTTCGCGGCTTTCTCCCTTGCCGCTAGATGTCGCATGATCGCCAGCACTGATCGAAACCGTCATGCACCTAGCGGTATGAGCGAGAAAAGGCGATTTTATGAGATACTTACGCGCCAAGAAATAAAAACCCTATTACACTAGTCACTTGTTCTGGATATACAGCAATTTATATAATTCTGCTCCTGGCAGGTACCAGCTGTGGACGGGAGGTTGAACGTCACCAGTGACGTTTAAGCTCTTGATTGGCTGAAATTGTGAAGAAACTGATACCTGCCAGGGACGGAGTTGCAAAAATCGCAGTATATTAAGATTTCTAACTGGTGTGGCGGCGGCGTTGTTATTTTATTGCAGGCTGATCACGTGAAAAATAGGCATGGGAAACTCGCAATTTTCCATTTCCAAGATGCGAGTACGTGAAACTTACTCATATACGTAACATATTGTACATGTCATTTGAATATATTGTGAAAACAGATAAAACCGCAATGCAATGTTAGTTTCTTTTGCAACTTTCGAAAATACAAGAGTTCATTGAAAATGGGACATGTGCCAAATTCCCCCATATCAAAATATTTGTTTAAAATGAACAGGGCCTCGAATTTATCCAGATGAATCGGGTAATTACAATTTTGTAGAAAATCGACCGATCGGTTAAGCGTTGCATATGGACAGTCTGGCGTTTTACCGTCGGCCATTTTTCGGTTTCAAGGATCCCTCAAAACGTGGATTCTAAGTACATGTGTCTCAATAATTTACTACATACAGGAACAAAATTAAATCACTTTTTCGGATACATGGCCCCTCAATGACTTTTTCCTGCGAAAAATCGCAACTATGTGCACCTTAGCTACAAACATTTCCTTTTCAGCCTTTGTAGATAAAATATCTACTTTAACCACACTGTTTATTGTAGAAGTACATTTCTCAATGATAAACAATGGGGAAAATTAATATTACTACTCATAAGAAAAGTACATGAAAAGTACTCACTGTTTACTGCAGATGAATCTTTATACATATTTAAGCTTTGTTTCCAATTTGAACAAATGTAAGGTAACAAATAATTCACATTTTCTGCATTGGCGCATCTCTTACACATATTACACTTTAATCAACTTACATCCACATACAATTCTGAATATCTGCTCCATATGATTGCAATGAAACGTTCCTCAGTAAGCTTCACATATTCACTTCCAAATGTATATGTTCCATTTAAGTATCACAATGCATTAGGCCACCAAAACATACATTCATTCAAAATAAAGAATTTTCAAACCTCTTACCATTTTCGTAAATTAATACTTAACCAGTTGACTTTCCATCTCTCCATTTACTTTGATAAAAACAATATTCAAGAAAGTAATATCTAAAAAGAGTTATAAATATTCTTAATATATTGCACTGTTATGGATACATCTTTTCAAATGTCTGACTTTGTTTAAAATTCCAAATGTATAAAATAAACAGGCACATCAATGCAATATTAATGTCTTTAAGAAATTACAATTGTTCAGAAAGTAAAGTATACTCTAGAAAAAAACAAAAACAAAAACCTGATAAGATAAGCGATTGCCAAAGGAAGTACAAATCGTCCACTATATACAGTTTCTGAGGTTTCTTGGTTTTGAATAGAACACAAGGACTGCATCTTTCATCACTTATTTGTAAGTACAAGAGCAGGTAAACCAGTACAAGTTGATTTCCCCAAAAAATATTTAAAATAACAAACAATAAAATAACAATGCAGGAGGAAAAGAGGAGTCAAGCTTTGGTGACAGATATTTACACTTATTTCTCATACATATATAGTTATGATTCAGGTTCAATTACTACTGAAGGATAGTATTATTTCATAACAAACATAAATAATTATATATGATGTTTGTCTGTATGTTCCATTTCTTTGGGAGACTGACTTCTATAAAATTATCAAGACTAGAAAACAAGGTGTTACAATAAAAGAACTGTCACCAAAAAATAGCTTTGCATTGTCATCTAATATGATATTAAACATGTCTGTTTTGTACTCAAAAAATCCTAAACATTGATTGAAACAATACATGAAAATCCTCTTGATTCAGTAAAATGTTTGAACATACACAAAGTTGTAACCCAATCACCTTGTGTGTGCGAGTTGCATCAAAAGTATGCTGAGCATACTCTACTTCCCGAAGGGTGTAACATCAGATAATTTATACTTCTATTTTATTTATCTTAGAGCCAGCACACAAAGCAATGAAACTGAGAAATACACACAAATATCAAACATCTACACTAACCTTGTATTTAATAATATATGGGATGGGAATGTGATAGAAGTGCCTATTTCACAAAAATACATACAACCAACAAAACAAAACAAAAATTCAATTGCAATTTACTGTAATATTCTTCTTTTTCAAAAGCCCACAACCCCATTTCATGGACAATACTTTCAGATAGTATTTCTGCGTAAACAAGGCTCTTGACATATTGAGCAGTTACCACTGAACACTTACGAGCACATACACTTGCATACTATCCATTCTTCAACGTTTAGCACAGTACTTTACAGAACTTATGAAGTGAATATGAGAGTAATGTTTACTGTAGCACCTCACTTCTTCGCCAATTCATTTGAAAGCCAGTCCAGACCTTCATATAAACCATCTCCTTGAGTAGCACAGGTAGCTTGAATGTACCACTAGAAAAGAAAATAAATAAATAAATAAATAAAAAGAAGCTTGTAGGTACACATGCTCCTACACTAATACATGATCAAGCAATAAATTCTTTGAGCAGAAATAGGAACACAACAGACTCATATAGCTATAAATTAGTCAAGCACAGTGGCAGAAACAGGATTTTTCAATGTGTGTGTGTGTGTGTGCGCGCGTGCGTGTGCGCGCGTGCGTGTGTGCGCGTGTGTGTGTGTGTGTGGGGGGGGGCACCATAGGTTTAGTCAAGTCGAAGTTTTCATGTAAGTAATTTTTCATTTTGTGAATTATGTTAATTTATAGTTATTTTTAATGTATTTAACTCGGATATTGAATGACTTTTATAACTACAGAAGATTAATAACTAGGTGCAACAGAATGACACAGAATTTCCTGTACTAGTGTTCTATTTCCTTTTTGGTCTCTGCTAGCTATACAAACTTGCCATATACTCTTGCCAGCTGCCATCTCTGCCTCATGCTGCCCAAGGTTCATTTTTTAAAACCTTTCTTAATTTTTTGGTTTCCTAATAGTAGAACGGAAATATTATTTTAATAATATTAAAGAACATTAAAACGTTGTTATAAACGGCAATATTCTTTGAAAAATTTGGAGCCTTTTTAAAAAAACTGGTGTTTAAGCCGTACTGTAAAATCGAAATTTCAAGTTCTTTTACACAGAAAATTTTTGAGTTTTCGAAAAACTTGATTTGAAGTCATTTAAGCACTTTAACGCACAAATACAATAGTGTTTACAAATTGCTGGAAATGCTCATATCAACGGCGTGAGACACTTTCAAAAAATTTACATGTGTAATTTTAGAAAAACCAAAAACTAACACCCAAATTCACTTTATGTCATATTAAACAGTGCAATTAGCACTATCCGTTCAAAATGTTTGAAAAAAATTTTTGAAGTCGTTTTTGAGAACCTTTATATGACATTATTTAAAGCACATATTTTGTAATTTTTTTTAAATTGCACATATTCCACTCAATATTGCACGAAAACGACTAACATTTCCAAAAAAATGTACATGCCCTTAATGAAAGAACTCTCTATAGAGAACAAATTTTATTTGTGGGGAAAATCTATATCTTCAATTTTGTAGTTGTAGGAAGACGCCCGAAAATTTTTGACATTGAGTTAACAGTGAAAATCGGACCTATTCCACGTTTATAAGTATATATTACTGTATTCTTACAAGAAATTTAAAGAAAAAATTTGTAACCGTTTTTGAAAAATTTTGATATTGTCCGTAGGGATCCATGTAAAGTACCCCCAAATTTTGAAGAATGTTTTTCAAAGTCTCAAAGTTTTGACAAGAGCCAGACGGACAGAGGTTACTTCAATTTGGAAATGCATGGTTTAGGCGCCAGTAGTGTTCACGGACGGACGGACGGACGGACGGACGGACGGACGGACGGACGGACGGACGGACGGACGGACGGACGTTTGGGGAAAAATCGGTATCTAGGGATCCTATAACGTATTTCCGTTGAAATCTCAAAATCGATTTTCTGCAGCATTACAGAACTTTCCCTATACTCCGTATATACATACGTATACGGTAAAGTAAAAATTATAGTTGTGAATATCTGTTAAGAGCTTCAAGAGGGGGGGGGGGAGGGAAGGAGGCTGAAGCCCCAAGACACCCTCCCATGGATGCACTGCTGATCTTGCAGCACGACCACAAGAGCGTCCTATATTTATCACAACGAACTTCCGAATCTTCCTGCATTCATAATATTTTCCACAGAACTCATCATTAGATGCAGGTACAAAAACATCACTAGTTTCCAATATTAACAATTTCTATTGCAGAAATATACTACTTTTATAACAAATTGCAATGGAATATAATAAATGTAGAGCTTGCAAAAGATTCATAAAGGAAAAATTTAACAATGAGCCAGCAAATTACCACACAATTCTAGAATCCCAGTCAATACTGAAAGAATACTTTCATAATGATCTCAATATTGGTAATGAAGATGCATGTTCCAAATTTATATCAAGATTTGAACTTCCTTAATGATGAACTGAAGAGGCTGTAAAGTTCATTGAAGGAGGGAAGAGTGTTAGTGTTAATATTTGCTATTATATGGTGATCGGATTGTATTCCATCCTATTTTGACAAACATACCTATGGATAGTTTTATCTCACTTCCTGATTTCTTAACTTCTGAATATTCCTTTTCCACATGAAAATACTTAGTAGCAAGGTCGAGTTGTTGACAAAGTAGTGTAAAAGATTTATATACGGAGTATCAATGTTGTTGGACGAAATAAATCATACAGACTTTTCTCTCTAGTAGAGACAATAAATTACAAAGCCCAGTCATTTTTGAGGTCTCCCACTACTCATTAACATACTGGCTATCTTCCTTAACACTATTAGCTTTCAGCCAGCATGTATATATGTCCAATTTACACATTCATATTGGGATGAAAATTCAGAGGTAATGGCCTCGGAAAAGTCTGCAGAGAGGGAAAGGAACTTGCCAAAATAAATTGTCTTCATTATAGATGTAAGTTTTCCCATCTCCATGTAGCAAAGTTAAACTAAGTACGTCCAGTGTAAACTGAATTGTAACAAATTTTTGAAAAGGACTTGGTAGCCATGACAACACACACAGCTCATCCAAGACAAACAAGATCATGCAAACTCCAGCTGCAGAAGCCTACACAATTATATCTAAGACTTTCTGACCACAAGAGGACAAGTTGCTGGAGATTGTTGAAATATGCCTTTGCTATAAACAATGGGCATAGCCAGCACCAAATTATTGGGGGGGGGGGTTCAATTCAATACATAAGGTACAGAATTACATGGATTCTCCTGCAATATTCCCAAATAAAAAAATAAAATATCAGTAGGGAAACCTCTCTCTTCTCCTTCAGGCTGTTACACCCTTGACAAAGCATTGTACAGGTATTCTCTGGCATGCTTACCAATTATTGTTTGAAGAAAGACTCAACAAATTATCAAAGTAACAAAATAAGAATTTTTCTTTAGCTGATTAACCCACATGTTTCATTAAAAGTTTGCAATCACAATTAAAAGAAGAAGCTGTCAAACTATATTATGAAAGGCAATTGCACATGCTTTTCACTTCTGTAGTCAATGATTTTATAATAAAAAAGTAAATAGGTGGAAGCCACCAAGAACTAAGGACTATTATTGCAGAAGTAACTTAAGTGCTGTCCAGGTTTTTATTTATCACAACATTTACTGGCCAGGAATTCTATGTAGAGTAAAATGGAAGTTATTTATTTACATCCCTTCCTTGCAAGGGCATTAGAATGAATCATAATGCATTTAGAACGAACTTTTATGTGCTTTCAGAAAATTACCATCCACTTAGACAAATTTGCCCACCATTTCCAATATGTTAGTGAAAAATTTGGACTTAATTTTGCAGGCTGGAAAAGGGAGCAGAGAGAATATTTTCAAAATCACATGCAATGACTTTTCTTGTTTTGAAGATCAAGCACACAATATTTCATCGAGACAGTAATGCTGAAATTTTATAAAATATAATACACAATGCACATTCTTTTATATGTAAAGATGCCCTAATTTTTGACATTACCATACTTTCCTTTCTCCCCTTTTCCTTTTTCACTTCTATTAATGTCTTATCAACCAATTGATTTATTTTTCCATATGACATGTACAAAAATTCCCTCGTTTAAGCATCCAACTAGCCCCCACAACACTTCACATTTAAATTTTAAACTCTTTGAGAATAACAAGCAGAAGACAGATGGAGATACTACTAATCTTGCTGCGAAGGATAGTGTTGTGTTACTGAGAACAGTGACATTGAGTCACTTAAGTGGCAGGAGAATTTAAATTGTTTTCCAAATTACAAAGATTTTAATAGCAATGTCATTATGAAATAACATGTTTGTTTCACTCATTGCACAGCATTCTCCTCAAATTTGCTGACCTTTGCTTCCCTTGAATGAGAACTTGTCGAGGACCATTGGAGGGGCGCTTATCTGATCTGGTGGTCATTGCCTCAGGAATTTCTTCATGGGATGGTTCCTCTCACAGAATGCAAACTGCATTTTGAAGTCTAGTTTGCTTGCAAGTTCAGGTTGATGAGGACAAAAGTAAGTGTGCAAGTAATGACAAGTCAAAGGGAGTTTGTCACTAGCTAAAAGGAGGCAAGTGATCCTAAAAAATGACGATGGGATTTCGGAGAGAGAACTCTGAAATTTTAAAGGCAGAAGAGTACAAATATATGAAATTATAAACAAGGACACACTTTTAGGAAGTTTCCAAGTCTTTGTAACTAAAAGTGTACATAAACTTCTTAAACAAACACTCAGCAAAACATTTCTTGTGAAAAAGTGAATAAAATCAATGTGCTAAAACATTTGTCTGTATTTCATGATTTGTGGTGTGTTGGGCAAGTTATATTTTGTATTTTAAGGTAATTAAAATTACTTTATGGAAAACATAATTTCATAGAAATCAGTACAATTGAGGCCTATTCTGGAAGAAGGGCACATAAGTCTACATGCTACCACAGGCTTATGTGCCCTTCTTCTGGAATTGGCCTCAATTACATCTGTACCCTTCCTGACACCTCATAACCTTAATGAAGCCAATTTTCACTGGAACCTTTAATGATCACAAAAGATGGGATTCACTGTATTATAATCTGGTATTTTAAGACAAAAATCTGCATAATAAACTAATCCAACATAATTTTGGCCTTTTAGTTTATTTCATAAATAACTACACATGGCATTGTAAAAGGAATATCTCTCTTTTTCCAACTACTACTAGTCATGTACACTGTGCATTCCATCAACATGCATTCTTTCCTTCTACATGGGTGTGTTCTCATTTCAGATGCAATTTTGTGCTTCAAATTCTGTTTAACAAAAATCAGGATATCTCAAAACAAAAATCAATTAAAAATTAAAATTTGAAAATTTAAATGAATTTTCAAATTTTGTCACAATGAAAATTACTAGCAGGAATACACAGCAATGAGGCTGGTTGTACACAGAAAATAGTATATACAAACAGCCTGGATTATTATTATTATTATTATTATTATTATTATTATTATTATTATTATTATTATTATTATTATTATTATTATTATTACTATTTTACACACATTTATATTATGTATTTATTTATTTTCATTCTACCAGGGGTAGCCTCTGTCAAGTGAAGTTACCTGATTGTTTATCTCACAAGTGATTATTGTATGAACACAAATAAATATTAGAAAGAGTGAAAATTTGTATTATTAGAAGTAGTATCTCAACTGAACCATTATTAATTTACTTTCGATTTTTTTAATGCAATTTCATAATCAATTAAATCTAAAAGCATTACTTTTCAAACTAAATGTTAACTAATTAGATGATAATGCAAACAATTTTGATTTCCCCCCCCCTCAAGATAACACAGTAACCATTTTTTAAAACTATGTCACATTTAGATGATTTGCTTGTGACAATTGGAAGTGATGTACATGAGAGCAGCCAGGCATTTAGCCAGGTATGCTTGGGAACTGAAACCCCTTCAAGAAAAAGAAAATCTCTTATCTACTGTTGGGCAATCAGTTCATAGATAGGTTTCAGTGTAGTTCAGTACATTGATTTTACATTAGGCTAATGTCCTAATCCATGACAGTCTTGATTCTAAAAATCTGCATAAATGAATGATGCCCTTGTGTTTGTCTTCCCATTGAGATAAAAACGATGTCAATATATTTTAAACATTTTGTGAATTATTATGAAACCTTCTTTACATAATCTGTCAGATTGAACTTGTTTTCTTGACAAAGTTTAGTTTGTTTGTTTTCCTCACAAATGTTCACTTCATAAGCACCAACTAAAAGAAAGTTTTGCCTACAGCACTGTAGACAGCACTCTTACGTAGCTTCATATCCAATATGCAAAGTGTATCATACATTCACTAATTTAAATTGTGGGATGAACATTAAATAATTATTAATTGTTACGCAACAGTACTTAGGCATTAAGACAACCTGCAAAAAAATACAGATGCAATACACCATTAAAGTGGATCAAGGCAAATAGGATTCTGTTAGCTTCACTAGGGAACATGATTTTTACCTCCGAAAGGTAGAGAGCGTAACATACTCAATTTTATACGTAGATTACGAATATCACAATAAAAAGGTCATATCACATCACAGTTTTTAAATATAGCACATCTTTATACCAAATCACACTGTATTTTGTTATTAATGCAAATACATTTAAATTGCACCTGTAAGACATGTGGAATTAATACACACAAAATCTATTTGAAAATAAAATATTTGATATCTCACGCCGCTTTCATAAGATATCAACAAAATTAGACTTTTGTGTTTTTTTTACCTTCTGTATTCTAAGATTACTGTCTTTAATCTCACGACTCCTAGTAGTGTTCATTACGAGTAGGTGGTCTTAGTACGTCTTAGGGGATGCTTTGAAAACAAGTCACGTACACCCCCATATTTCGTAGTGTGCATCAGTCACCGAAAGGAATTATTTTAGCCCTTTACCATATCACAAGTACACAACTGTTGGGGGTAGCAGATTCTGAGTCGGTCGGTGTCATGCAGAACTACACCTACAGAGCAAATGAAGTTTGTGTCAGGTTTGTAGGTGCCTCAAATACATTAATTACTGTTCTTTGGTTATTATAAGGTGAAATTCGCCACATGATCTGTTGAATTGAATCAGTTCGATAAAATGCAAATCATCTCACAAATCTAAAATGTGAGAATCAATCTGAATTTCAATTACATTGTAAAATATCTACACCCAAACTTCAAAGAAAAAAATATATATGAAATTACAAAACTCTAGTATTCATGTTTCAATACTATTGCACAAATATTTGTATTCCATTTTTAACCTGTTCTTACCTCACCTGAAGCATTCTCAAACTTTTTTGTAGTAATATAACTGGAGTGACAATGCAGAAATTAGTAAAGGATTTTGTTTATTCCAAATACTAAATATGTTCATGTCTTTTGAATCCAGCGAGATAGAAACTCTTTATAATGATTTTTGAAATCAGCATGATCGTTTCCTTTGAAATCACCTACTTCCATCCTGGAGGTATGCAATTTTCTTTTTCTTTTGTTTTTAGTGTTTTAGTTTGTGAAAGGCTCCACCAATGCCATCATAATTCTGATGATTTGCAGTGGCCATGTTTTGAAGACCATTGCAACTTCCCTTCAACTACCTCAGAGCACAAGCTGCATTTTGTGGAGCAGGTTCCTCTGAGTACAGGAGACCTATGTGGTAAATGTGGTAGGATGGAACAAAGAACAAACGAAGGGTGAGGCCACTTGTAGCAGAGGTGAGTTGCTCACAATGCACTTCTGTTTTCCTGGTAGTTTAACACCTCTGATCTACTCTGATGAACAATCTCCTTTTCTAATATGAGCCATCAGATGTGAATTCATTCATACTCCTCTTGGGAGTAGTGTGATTTATATTAATTAATTAGATACCATCTAACTTTCATGTCAGTTTGGATACCACTGCATTCAGTTAGAGTCACCAATCAGCAATCAAATCTATTACAAAGCATGTGCTAAACACGTGCTTTTGAGAGGCTCATGAAATATAAGAACATAACTAAAAAAACTTCTTTATTATGATTAAAGCTCATGGGGTGGAGGGTCAGAGTGTATAATTTTTAAGATGTCTTTTTTTATTGAGTATAAATAATAAATATAATCCTGAAGGTGAAGGTGCCAAAAGCATCTCATTTCACTATACACTTCAATATAGTTATATTTATAATGTTGCGAAACAAATTTTTGGAACAACAATTTCAATAATCCTATCTGAGATCAGACCACTCATTAAAAAAGAAAGTTGTAGTACTGAAATTGTACAGAATTACTAGAGCAAACCTCAAGCCGGGCAAACTTAATCACATGAAGTAAGAAACAGAATAAAAAGATAGAAATAGAATGATTCGTTCATATTTTTTCCTTAATGTCAGTACATTACACATTCCAAAAATGAAAAATTTCATAGAAAATGGCATGTTTTTTAATTGTACTCGCTGAATTGATGAGGCAAGACGATATAGAGACTCTCCACCAAGTACAATTAAGAATGTCCTTTGGAACGGTCATAAAAGCCCACAATTGTCTGTCTCTGAATAAACTGCAAACCTGGGCAGTTGGTCCATTTTTCACTAGTTTTGTTGAAGCCTTTTACAGAATTTATAATACAGTCAACTATATTGTTTTAAGATTGTTTCAGTAATAGTTATTTTTCTAATGATTATTATTAATAATAGTCATTCACAGCTGTTAATTATTCCCCAAATGATAAGTCTCATTAGCTAACCATTTGTAGGATAAAAATTGTGACAGATTCTAACTCCATACTTACATGTCTATTACGAAGGTGATTCAATCCCAACTTATCGGTAAGTTCTGCAGCACTCATAGCATTTGGAAGATCTTGCTTGTTTGCAAAAACCAGTAATGCAGCATCTCTTAGTTCATCTTCTTGTAACTATCAAAATAAAAAGTTAATTATGACAAATTTCTTTAAAAAAATTAAAAAATTATTTATAAGCATTACAAGATATTTCAAAAGTATGTACCATGTTTTGAAGTTCCTTCTCAGCTTCAGAGATTCTTTCTCTGTCATTGGAATCAACAACAAATATTAATCCCTGAGTATTCTGGAAGTAATGTCGCCACAATGGTCTTATTTTATCTTGGCCACCAACATCCCATACAGTGAAACAAATGTTCTTATATTCAACAGTTTCAACATTAAAACCTGAAAAGATGAAAATACAGCATTTATCTACTTAAATAACAGGGGAGTGTTTGTGATTTCAAAGTAACTGCCATTTTATAATCTATTACACTTATTTAGATGATATAAAAACCAATAAAATTGCTTTTACAATTTTTGTCAGTAAGTTTGAGGATATCTCTGTTACAGCTGTATTGTTTTAGATGCACATATAAAAGGTAAAGTGTTTTGTTGCGAATAATTTAGTATTTTGAATAATAAAATTGCTATTTTCTCATATATAAAGAAGAATGTTTGTTTGTTTTTTGATAAACATACAGTTTTATTCCGATCTTTATGAAATTTTGTATACATGCTCTTTAAAACACGAGAAAAGTTACCATCTGATATTTTGAATTGAATTGAATTGAATTATGCCTTATTTTACGTGGCGAGACTCAGGCCATTAGGCCTGCTCTTCCGTCTGACCACGCAAATTTCGCTACGCTCCTTTCACCAACTACCGGAGAAAGGAGGTATCTTGGGCGAGAAACAGGCGACTTGAATTTAGCTCAGAGGCGTCATTTAGGCTTGAGGATCTTTTACATGCAAGTAAATCTACGAACATGGGACAGCCGGCTTTACTTCTCCTCCGAAGGAAGGCGTACGAAGGATTTTTTCGCCCTTAAAAAATTAACTTATAAATTATTTTGTAAAACTTGCTTCCTTTTCTAAACCTTAGAGTAAAATTTAAGTGTGCACTGTATTACTTATTAAATTTTCACAAGTACCTTGAAAATGGTGAGTAGACTCACCAAATTGAATAGAGCATTTCTAAAGATCACCATTTTTGTGCATGGAAAAAATTATATTTTGAGGCTTTATTAGTGAATTGGGAAACCAAATTTGTTTTTGACATATTGACAAGAATGACACAGCCAATAGCACAATGAAATGAGCGTGGGCCTGCCCGCAAAACTTGTATCCGGATTCCCTTTAGTGTGTGTGTATAGCAAATAAGTAGTGATAGTCCCTTAAATAATAAAAATATACCCCAAAAATAGGCTCTCTTTTGCCAGGGTCCGCTCACAACGCGGGCTTTAACGTTATGCTATTGGACATACTACATATTAATTATTGTATCTTTGTAACATTGTGGGTGTGTGAGTTTTGTAAAACTGAGTAATGCTCTTGATAAAAAACTTCCAACCCTCTATTTCTGGTGAAACTAGCTCAAAATGTAATTTCTTGTTGCTGAAATGTACAATTTATTAGTGAAGTAGTTGAAGTACCTTGTGCTGCCCAGGTATTTATTAATCATCATCACATTTTACAAAGGAAAATGAATTAATTCTCTATGTTGTGTATCCCCGCCCCACCGTGGGCTGCCCTGCTCTTCTCCACCCATTTCACCAGGTCCTGTTCCACCTGTCCAGCTCCACCGTCTCATTCTTAACTCTGCCCCACCCCACTTCACCCGGCCTGCCCTACTATGTTTGCCATGTATGGGCTGTATTTATGCATACCCCTGGCACTCTTCCAACAATTTTTACTTTCAACAACTCTGACTAACTGTGCCTATTAGAATGAATCAAAATGCATGGTTATTTACATCCCAAAATGAAATGAAAACAAATCAATTAATTACTAAGAAAAATCATTTTTTGTCAATAATTCCATTCTTATAGTTAAGTTTGAATAGATCCAATTATCCTATCTAAAGGAGAGTAAAAAAAATCCCCGAATATAATTAATGCAAACTGGAATATACCATAAAATAAACACTTTTTCCCGTAATAAATGAACTATTGCCTCTTAGAGTGCCTCTCTTAAATAGGAGATCAAAATACATACAACAGAACACATAAGTCTCCAAATTATTAGACTAGAGCAATTACAAAAACTAAAAATGCATGGCTGAAATAGTAGACCAGTCAAATTCTGAAAAAGGGAGATACCTGGATAAACGTCATAAAAACTTCTTTATGGGTATGTTGTACGAACAAAGGCACTAGTTAAAACCATTTTTTATCTCCAAGACCCTGTAGTAACTCAAGGAGAGACAAAAAACTATTTTTCCTCCAACTCTTTTTGAGTTTTTCCTTTATAAATATTATAAGTCCTGTGGAAATATCTGTAGTACTTCATCACAAAATGTAGTGCTTTAATATCTTCATTGATGGAACAGGGGTTGAAATTCCAAAAAGGTAGGACAAAAGGTAAGATATTTGGGAAAAACAACAAAATTCAAAAATACATAATAAAAAATATTGCTGATCAAAAGGTACTGGAAAGATTGGAGCAATTTACAGTTCTCTCAGTGTATACAATGCTTGTCAGAAAAGTCAAGATAGTTACTGCAATATACTGCTACACTCTGATAGTGTTATCATTGGTGAAGTTGTGGATCTATTGACATTGGTTAACAGCACTAGCTTTTTATCAATATATTTATTTCTAGAAAAGCAGGGCGAGGGTCTATCATCCAAAAATGAGGCAGAAGATATCATTTTCCTTGATGCTTGGTGGGTGTGTTACATTCACCTAATGTGCATAAGGGAAGGAAAAATTCTGCAGTGCTCATTAGAAACCGCATGATTTATTTAAAACAATCAGCATCATCAGATAAAACTACAGCAGGACATACTCCAGAAGCAAGTGGAATATTTTTTGTCTGTAAGGTAGAGAGATACAGCATATGAACTGGAAAAATGAAGAGTTCTTTTTCTCAATTCTTGTACTACATTATTTCATCTTGTATATTATACTTCATTTTATTTCTACACCGCTTTCATTTTTTTCCCTATTGGTCTCTTTCTTTACCTACTTATAATTTTTTGTTGAACAGAAAATTAATTTTTGCAAAAAAAAAAAAAAAAAAATAGTCTTTGGCGCAGTTCTCCCAAAGTTCAGTAGGAAACAGTATACATTCCAGTTAATGTATCATAAAGTACTTTGCCTTGTCATTTGAAACAAAATATGAATGAAATACATTTGCCAAATACTGCAAATTATAAGCAAATTTGTACTCTTGCAAAGGCCAGAATCTCATCACCAACTCAGAAATGCGTAATGAAAGCATTAATTGAGGTATAGTGAGATTAGGTTAGGTAGTATTGTGTAAATATACATTTATGGCTGACAGTGGCTGACTCTCCCACTAGCCTTTGAAAATTCTCACAGGTCCAATTCATGCCTATCACATATCTGCAAACCCTCCTCACGGTAACATACTTCATCTACCCTATCTGCCTCAGGTGGGGAGTGAAATATAGTTGGCCCAGTCACAAATATGCATAAAATGTTTCCTACTATGGTCTTTTTCCATCCTTATTTGGATACTGTAAAATTAGTTGTTTTTTAGGCTTATTGAATAGATTTGAATGATAAAGCGAAATCTTTAATTTTTTTTTCATTTTATTGTATTTTTGACCTTTTAATAGGCTTAATACACTATAAATTGAATTCTATCCTAGAATGTCTTCATATGATTAAACTAGTTACATGTGGAAATAATTTTAGTAAAAATTGTCAAATTGTCTGTGTATTAGTAATAAATAAATTAACCAGCTAATTCTAAAATCCTTCCGATTCACACTCTATCCTTAACATACACACTTCATAGGCAAAGAAATTCACAATTTCTTTATACTTTATTGGGTCACTAACTGAATACCAACCTTTTTCTGGCTCAAAATGAGCACAAGGTCATGCATGTTAAAAACTTTGGGTTTTAACTAGAGCTGAAGTACATACAAAACACCCAAAAGAAAAAAGTTTTGATGCCCTTTCTCCAGGTAAAATGCATCTGTCAACTCTGCTAAAGATAATACAATACAACTTCAGAAAGTTGAAAAGGAAATTCCACAATGAATGACATGAAGGATCTTTAGGTTTTGAAAAGAAGCTTTTGATGGTCACGTTAGTGTCGTATCTTCCATGTACAGATTTGTTCATTGTGTAGTGTTATAGACATTGTTTAATTTTAGTAAAATGGGACAAAACAGCAAGATTATTATAATTGGATTTGTAAACTTACAAAGCGAATGCTTTCAAGAAACAACAAAAGATATTCATATTTCCCATCCAATGGATTAATGAGGCAAGTTTTCATCTACAAGTATAATAACATAAAATGCACAGGTAATTATTTTTTAGACTCAAATTTCATATAAATCATGAGGGCTGAAGACGTAGCTTCATCCTTAATTTTAAAATGCATAGCCTTGACTGTAAAAATAATTTAGAATAAAAATGCAAGTGAAATTCCATTTTCTAAGTGAGTGAAATATACAGTGAAACCCCTCAGAAAGTCCAACCCCTTTAAATGACTACCACTATCTTCAACTTATTTTCCTTGGAACAGACCCATGCACTGTATTCAAATTGTACCCCTTTTAACAGATCACACCTGCAATAGCTAGCTTCTTAACTTACTGCTTTTAAGAGACCACTTTCAGAAAATTTTAACAATACATACACCAAATTTTCAATAGATAAAATTAAAATTGGTGGTTTTGTAACTGGGATTTGCGCAACATGCCCAATGCCTGACTTTCAATCGTGGAGAAAATCAGGGCAGGGAGAGGATATTCCAGAAATCATGTAACAATGAATTGTGGTCACTGATAAGATTTCCAGCTGCTCGCACCATTTCAGTTTCATTTCATCTGCGATGACGGATATGAAAGTGATCCAAGGTTTAATTTTTTGAATTAACAAAGCCTTACCTTACTTTCTCGGAAGAACATCTTGTGTGGAAGATTATCAATGATGGAAGTAAGGATTATTGAATTACTCCCTCATAGGCAATGTTGCATTAGACTGTGGGTTGCGTCCAGAATCTGTGCCCAGTCCACAACTCATGACTCATTGTTTGACTTTTTTTATTGATAGTATTTTAAATTGTGGCAAGAAGTGCAAGAAAAGAGAGTTTTTGAGCTTATAAGATATAGAATGTGTCATACATACACAAATTATGTATTTAGTTTTGTTACCACAAGACAATGGGGATTACTAAAACTCAACTCATCATTTAAATGTATATTTTAAAACAAGAATAAGATTTGATTAAGTATTACAAATGTACTTAAAATCATAGTAACTATGCTTGAATAGTATTAGTATCTCAAAATAGGCAGAATAAACGTCTTCAAAATGTTTCTTTTTCATAATTTTGTACATGTATATGAATATGTTTGAATATGTTTTGAATATGCCTTTGAATATGTTCTTTAGAAAAACATTTACTCTTATCTTAAACATCTGATGACTAGTAATAGCAGACCATATCTGTATAAAAATATCAAATAAAAGTTAAGCAACTACCCCTATTAAGCAACTACTCCTCTAACAGACCACTTTCTCATGGAACTAACGATGGTCACTTAATACAGGTTTCACTGTATTCCACCTGTTCATTATGGAACAGCACACAACTTTGCAGAAGTTTCAAAGACTGAAATGCAGAATATGCAAGTTTTATTAATTTTCATGAAGTGTTTTTCATAGTATTGGGCCACTATTTAGACACACTCACTCCTTCCCATCTTCCTTTCCACTCCCAAACCAAACTCTACTCTCTAAAGTGTGCACCAAATTTCGATTTTAAACAAATATATTTCCTAGCAAAAACAAACTTGAAAAACCAAACCTATAAGTATCTAATATTTTGTAAACATTCCCATATTCTTAGGTAACACACAATTCATTTTGTCTGGCATGCTGAAAATCAGTTTTGAACACTTCCTTTTAATTTTAGTAATACTTTAACAGATGTGAGAGTCCTTCCAGGAGTTAATTTTTCTTTGTTCTCTCCTTTTTTCAGTTTTTCCCCCCCTTTCTTTTCTTTTTCCCAGTAAGGACCAAAGATTTTCCAAGAGGATTTATGTCCATACAGTTTTGAAACCATTAAAGTACAGATTGTTGAATATCTGGGAGATTGCAATGTGGTATAGACCGTGATCATACAAGGATTTTCTCCAATCCACTCGTTTATTTGAATCTCGAATTGATACTGTAGGATATTGAAGTAGTGTTTTTGCATAATTGCACTGTGAACAATGAATAAACTACCAGTACCATGATGTCATAACACGCACAAACCATCACACGTTTTGTTCACCATTTGCATTATACACTGATGATAAAATTCATTTCACATTCTTACTGATTTGACATTGACAATACTCTAATAAGATCGCTCACCAAAGCTCACCTTACAGGAATTAGACATAAAAATAGTAATAGGAAAAAAATAATAATAATTATATTAAAAAAAACAATTTTTGATTGAATACATTAAAAACAAAAATATGTATTCACATATAGTATATATATATATATGTGGATCCAGTCTTCTGGAAAGCAGTATCTGAGATCCTTTGCTCCATGCAGTTGCTTTTTTATTGTTACAATGATGATAATTACTTTCTTGCAACATCTCCAAGATTTCATTCCTATGCCATGCAATATTTTTCTGATAGTTCACACAGACACAGCAAAACCAACTTCACATAACATATTTCTAAACTGACTTTTCGTCTTTATAGTTTCGACACTAGTTTTTTTTAATCCCTTTTTCAACAAAGATTTCTATTCTACTCACCAATTTCTAAAACATATTCTGTATTTTCACCAATAACACAAGAGCACAGTTTTCTTCCAGAAGTGATTTAGCTATATCTTTTAACAGGGTAATAAATCCCTTTTCCCTTACATAATCTGTTTCACCATGTCACAAAGAAATTAAGACATTTTTACAATCTAAGATAACCTGAAACAGTCTTATTGAGTAAATGAAACAAGGCACCATCTAACTACCTCTGCCTGACTAATTGCTGCTGAAGTTTATAATACAATACACAGAACTAGCTGCCAAGATAGAAATTCCTCCCTGTTCAATATTTTCCTTAGTATTGCCAAATTACTACAATAAAATAAATTTTAAATTTTATCAAAAGTAAATCACAAGATACTTTATGATGTTATCAGCTCTGTACATTAATTTGTGGCATTTGAAGTGGAATATACTGTTACATTATACAATATTTTAATTCAATGTTAATTTGTCCAACTCTACTAGTACAAAACCTAACATAACATATCAAGAAAACCTGTAGTTATTAACATTGTCAGATCACATAAAAATTATGAAATTCATGAAAGCTCTCTTCTAACATGTTTTCACACATTTTTTCAAAATGCATCTTTCATGAATTTTTAAAATTCTTAAATCTCAAATAAGTTTATCTTGTAATTATTTTTTGTCAAAGGAATAGTCCAACCTTTTTTGTTCCTCACAATAATGAATATTATTACATACAAAAAACATACTTACCCATTTCTTAATAAATTCACCAATTTTATGTTGGTCTACATTATACATTGTAAACAAAAGAATTGTAACATTTACATACTGTTTATAATAGTTGCGTACAATTCAAAATCATAAAAATAAAACAAAAAATAATCGTACCTATTGTTGGAATGGTGGTCACGATTTCACCCAGTTTCAATTTGTATAGAATAGTAGTTTTGCCAGCAGCATCTAAACCAACTGAAATTGAAAAGCATGTAAGTGAGAATGATTCTGATCCAGATAACCATACTAATGACAAAATGAAATTTTATTTCTAACATGCAACTGTTACATAACATATATAACATCAGTTAATTTTTTTCAGTTCTTGGTCCCATTCTTAAAGAAACATTCCAATGATAAACAGTAAATGATGGAAAAAGTATAAAAGTTAAATTAAGTACAAAGTATTAGAGCCCAAATAAATTTTATGTAACACTAACCCTATTGTATGAATCACTAGCGCTTGAGTTAACAGTTGAGAATGCATAAAACGAGTATAATTTTCACTGCTATTGTGCGGCATAAAATGTCTGTAGCAGGAGAATGTACTGATCTCGCATTGCAACAGCTCAAATAACTACTGTAGTTTAATGACAAAATGTTAACAAAGTTCAGAAAAGAAATATAGAGAATTTCATTATTATTCACATTTTATTCTTTTCACACTTAAAAATTGTACCATCTCAAATTTCTCAATATTTTATCACACACTATGACATCCATTTATATACTACCATTTACTCACTATTAAAAAATCTAAAGGTGTGAAAAAGAATCTAGAAACCTTGCATCATTGATGGAAATTATTGCAAAAGTATGAATCATCCAACACTGATCCTGCACATGCATATCAAATTTCACCAAATTTGTGAGGGTATACTTCACACAAGAATACATTTTTTAATTAAAGCTCACACATGTTGGTACACAAATGTTGAACACCACTTAGTAAGAACAATGACATTACTTCACTCAAAAATGTGTAAGGTGTCAAATTCAGAAACAAACTCCCTCGATTTGACAGCAAAATTAATGGAATCTGGTGGATAAATACGTCGTAATAATACTTGCCTCATCCCAAGCCGGTATTTAGTGAACAAATATATTTACCCATCAAAATTCTCATCTGCTTCTTCCCGAACAGTCGGGATAAAACACTGGAAAGCGTTAAACCCATGTTTACGCTAATATCCGATCAAACAATGGTATAAACGTGTAGCACTTGCAACACAGCTCCCTGGCAAATCTCAACGCCACGTCAAACAGCTTACTCGGACATCAACTATCGAAGACGCTGACAGGAACTCCACCTTTTTCGGATCGGTCACAACCAGTCACAACGAACCTCACGCCCCTACAACACGCAGCCCAAGTTCCAACTAAAATACATACACGTCACCGTAAGAGTGGTCAGTGACCATTGGTCACGAAAGACATACGACACAGAGACACAGCATAAATATATAAGAGGAACCGCAAACTTTGAATCGCATTTACAGTTCTCACACTTTATAATAATACCGCTCCATATTCGCAAGCGGAGCAGGTTGTATTCAAGAGACAAGTTTACATAAGTTCATATGTCCAAGCACATTTATAATAACACTGGTCGACAAAATTTAACTTTTTGTGTCTTAAATGGAATATAAGGATTGTTTCTTATGGAAAATAGTGCTCCGATTTCAAATTTGGAGAGCATTTGTTTGTTACTGGCAAGCTTTTTTTGAAATAGATAATTAAAAAGTACATATTGTTGTTAAGTTATTGGTTTTCTTTGCTTTATTTAATGTAATAATCTCAATCAAAATGTAATTTTAATTGATTGCTCACTTGTTTCGTTTGAATACCTACATCCTTTTTTAGAGTCTAGCAATATTCTGCAAGCATATTTTGATTTGATTTCCTCCTATAACTGGCGCGGATCCACGGGGTGGGGAATGTAGGACACCCATCTCTAAAAATACTTTTTTCAGTAACTATTAATTTTAACTTCTCACGAAACTTTTAAGTAACTAGTGCTGTTAAACAGCACGTACTTTCTCGCTTGTATTTTCACGTACAATTACGCGTAAAAAATTCAAATTTTCGAAAAATTGTACATGACCTTATTTCAAAATCTAACTTTAAGGAACAGATTTCAATAAGGGAAAAACTTCTATCTTTAATATTTCAGCTAGGAAGACTCCGAAAACATTGCAAACTTTTGCAATTTTACAAAAATTAGGGTTTTCAGCGAAAATAAGACTTACACCATTCTCTTAAACGTCTTTTACACTATCAAAAAAAGTTATCAAAAACGACGGAACCTTTTGTTAATTTGAAAAATGTCCGATTACACCGATCGCAACTCTCCGATTACAGTTGACTAACAACATTGAGACATCCTACCCGCGAAGCCCCAACTCATCGTTCCTGACAACCACTGCTTTATCTTCGTCTATATTCCGAAGGTGTAGCAACGCAGTGTAAACACTCAGGCTCGCAGTAAACGTGCGGTTTAATTCCTTATATCTAATTTGCTGATAAGGCAAGAAAATTGAGATGCGATTATGACTTACGAGAGTAATAATAAATGACACAAATGTCCTTGTTATGTATAATTCCTCTATACTTGTATAATGGCAACATTTTTCGGTTGAAGCACAAACATGCTACAACCGTCACGAGCCGCCATCGTGCATCGTTACCCGCTAGTGAAAATTAGGGAGGTTGAAATTAGCCGAAAAAATAGCCAAGGATGTAAAAGAGTGCAACTGGTGGGGTACAACAGCGCATACTTTCATGCATTATTTGTAACTGCTCGCGTTATTTCCAACACTTCGTATAGACAAGCAAGGATAATTTCACATATATATTTAACATCCAGAACTAAACACCATCCACTATATCATATGCATATCCACTATATAAGAATGCATTCGAAACGACGATATCATTGCTTTATTCATATCTGTAAATACATTCTACCCGACTTAAATAAAATTGAGTACACCATCTTATTGCAAATAGAGAACATTGCCACACTGTCGTTGAGTAATTAAAACCGTGTTATCATATTTTTCCCATCATGTCGCCATTCAAAAATGAACTTCTCAAATATTCATCGCTGCATTGTTGTCCAAGGTAGTGTACAGTGGTAATATAAAATATGTTAAATAAAACCTAGCGCAAATATATGGTACTCAACTTTCTCAATTCTTCTTTCATATTTCATTTAAATCGTATTTTTAAGAAAAAAAACCTAACTGAGCTAATATCAATTAAGGTTTGCAGAATGCTTGAAAGAAAATCCATCAATACATTGAGAAAAAAATTGTACAGTACAGTAAAATTGAATTAATATGAGGATTTTCCATTATAAATTATAATTAAAATTGAATTAATTATTTTTCATATCCTTTTGATTCATTCCAGCTCTCCGAGGATTTTTTGAGGGAAACAAAGTTGGTGGGACACATGTATATATTTCATGTTTCAGGCAGACACTTCGCGAAAACTACATGTTTTTCCAAAAGAGTGTTCATGACCTCTTTCAAATAGCTGATTTTTTAGAACAGACTTTTTTTAAGAAAAAAATATCTATATTTTATTTTGGAGGTTTCCAAATGTTAAGTTTTGTTATTTTAGAAAATACAAAGAGATCATCGAAAATGAGACCTGGTCCATTCTTTTAAGCGTCCCAGAAGAAAGTGGGAAAAGTTTCCGTTCAAAAAGTTTAAAGACTAAATTGGAAAGGTTTTCGAGAAAATATTTTTTTTTAGAAATTACACGAATTTCAAACGCAAATTACTTAAAAACTGCTTGTTCTTTCAAAAAATTGTACAAGACCTTAAAAAAATGTTTTTACGACTTTGTCTGAGGCAAAAATCTATATCTTCATTTTTGTAGTTTCGAAATGTTAACTTTAACAATTTTCGAAAAAAGCGTAAAATAGCAGAAAGTTAGACTAGCGCCATATTTTTAGCGTCCTTTATTACATATGTGGAGAAAATTTAAATAAAAATTTGAAGCGGTTTTCGAAAAATGTTATTAATTTCTATTTTTAATTGCCTATATTTCGTGCAAAACTACACGAAAATTACTCATATTTTCGAAAAATTAAACATGACCTTACTTTAAGATATGTCTTTAAGGAACAGATTTGATAAGGAAAAAATATCTATCGTCAATATCATAGTTGTAGAAAGCCACCGAAAATTCTTAAATTTTTGTAATTTGCGAAAAAGCCGCAATTTTAACAAAAAAAAGGACCTGCACCGTTCTCTTACGTCTATTTACGCTATCCGACAGCAAAATTTAATCAAAACATTTGTACCTTTTTTTAATTTTGTAAATGTTTCCAGGGCTGCATGTTAAGTACCTCCAACATTAAAATATCTGTTTCAAATTCCAGGAGCCGCGACATCAACCAGATCGATTAGACAACATAAATTTTGGAGAATCGGCTAAATGGGGTAGTTGCTAGCATTGACCGCAGACGGACCGGCTGACGTTTGCCATCAATCGATTTCTCGGTATCAAGGAACCAAAAATATAAGGTCTGACTACAAAACGTGTTGGAGAATGTTATGTACTATATAGAGACAATATTTATTCATTTTTTCGTTACCAGGGTCCGGCAATAAGTTTTTCTGTCGAAAATTCGCGGTTTTTCCCCGCAGCATTACAATACTATACACTTCTCACTCACATTACAATAATTTCTCTCTACCGCATAAGTAGTAGAGAGAAAGTAAAAATACGAAAAGGTTGAGATAAGGTATAAAAAGATGCTTGCATTGAAAAATCTAAAACTCAGTTAGGGGAAAGGAACTCATTTGAAAGGAACTCATCTGGCAATTCTAAAGGGGGAAAAAATTAAAATGCAACTTAAAATTCTTAGTGCTTTTTATTACACAATGTTATTGCAGGGTTCGAGAAAAATATTTTTGTTAAAATATTTAGTTTATTGCAGTGTTACACGAGAGTATTTTGTTCGTTGTTTTTGAACAGCGTGCGTGCTATTTTTTGGAAATACATATTTTGCGGTTTTTTCACTTCACTTGCGGTTTTTTCACTGCTTCGGCGTACCTACTTCTTATTACATCTGATCAGTTAGATTGGACGATCTAATAAAATTCGTAATAAATTGAATTATGATCTCGTTTAGAAGGGTCAAAAGAAGACATTTTAATTTATCGCAGAATATAGCATATCAATAATTCTCTAACGCGGTTGTAACAATTTTAACAGTTAGAAGCAATAAGACATTGTCTTATTGCTGGAGCATAAACTTCAATTTGGTATAAAATAATTCATGTTTTAAAATAAATCTTTCATGTCGTTATATATTACGTTTTTAATCATTATTAGTGGCTAATCCTTTTACTACAGAATTGATATGTAGTATGAACAAAATATTCAGAACATCATCCAATTCTTTTCAATGACGATACTTTGAACTTGAAGTTTCACTTCGGTTGTGTGTCCTATGACACTTTTTACTTTCTCGCTCATAAGAAACGTCTTAAGAAGAGAAAGTGATGTAATGCTGCGCGAAAAATCGGCGAATTTTCGCCAGATAAACTCTTATTACAGAGCGCTGGTAACGAAAAAGTGGACAAATTCAGTTGCTAAATTTAGAAGAAAAACACGTGGTGTAACCAGAATTCATGTTTTGTAGGTCCTTGATACCGAAAAGTCGATTGACGGCAAAACGTCTGTCTGTCCGTCTGTGAACAACGCAAGCGACTAAACCGTACAGCCATTTTTTTTTCAAAATTGATATTCCCAAATCTAACTATCTGATGTCGTGGCTCCTTGAATTTGAAAACGATATTTTAATTTTGGAAAGTACTTTACATGAAACTGCTGGAACAATTTCAAGATTTTCAAAAAAAATAGCATCATGGATTAAATTTTTTTGTTGGATATCCTAAAGGACGTTTAAAATAATGGTGCAGGCCTCAGGTTTGTTGAAAACTCTTATTTTTCAAAAATTGAAAAAATTGAACATTTTTTCAGCGTCTTCCTACAAATAAAATATCACAGACAGAGATTGTGTTCCTTAAAAAATCTGTTCCTTATAGATAGATTTTGTATTAAGGTACAATTTTTAAAACATTTGAGTATTTTTCGCGTTTTTTGCGGAAAAATAGGCAATTTTTAATTTTTGATTAACCTTTATTTTCAAAAACCGTACAATCGTTTTAGATGAAATTTTGTTAGTCGATAGACTGATGAACGTTTAAGAACGTGCAGGTCCAAGTTGGTTGAAAACTACGATTTTTCGAAAATTGTAAACATCGAAATTTTTTCGGTGTCTTCAACAACAATTACGAAGATAATTTTTGTAAAGAAATGTGATTATCAAAAACAGATTTTCAAATAAAGAGAAGATGAAATTTTCGAAAATATGAGTATTTTTGGAGTAATTGGGCGTCAAAGTTAGCCACCCAGCCCGAAAATCCTGTGCATCC